AAGAAAAATTATGAGAAAAGAAAAAAAATGGAAATGAAGTATGTAAATAGGGAAGGGTTTAGGGGTGAAGGGCTCACAGGTAATGGGGAAAAAATAAGAAACAAGATACATCACGTACAGGTACAAGCACCCAAAGATAAATCTAAATGTACTGTATACCTAAAATGTACCAATAAAAGAATTTAAGGAAAAAAAAAAAAAGAAATAACAAGAGCTGAAACAGTTGTAGTAGTATCATCTGGAAGATAGAACTTCTGATTTAATGTAATCCAATCACTCTTGAAATTGATTTCTGAATTAGGACAACTAATTGTCTCTAGCGTGTAGCTTAAATTAACAGTAGGCACACCTGCATTCGTATACATTATAACAACTCTTTGTGCTAAAATATTTTAACATAGGTTACAGACATCATAACAATGCTAAACAGACATTCCTTAGTGTGGCTGAAACCGAACACTTGTTTTCTTTTTAAAGATATTTCCCCATTGAAAATTCCCATCTCATTAATTTTTCCATCAAAATCAACATCCATGAATGCGATTAAGCCAAAAATCTAGGTGTTAGCCTTGATTTTTCAACTTCTACAATCAATTCATTAACAAATGCTTTTATTATACCTCTAACTTATATCCTAAAGCCATCTCCTTCTCTTCTTCACTATCATCACCTTAGTCAAAAACCATCCTATTTGTGTCAACTAAAAAAAAATGAAGTGGTATGGGAGAGTCTATGCCAGATTCCTAGGTCACTTATACCTCTTTCCTCAATATTTGAGCTAGACTCCTAGCAGATTTTTTTTTTCTTTTTTGGCGTAATTGCTTCCTTCCACATGACTCCACACTCAGAAAGGCAGTCAGAAGTATCTTTTCAATCTGTAAATTAGGTTATGTCACTTCCTTTACTGAAACCAACCAGTGACTTCTAATCACACTGGCATAAATTTCAAACTTCTTATTGTGGCTGTGAAGTCTCCTGATTACTTCTTTGATTTCCTTTCAAGCAGCCTACCCTCTGTCCACAATATTCCTGTTGTACTAGTCAACTTTTTGGTCTTAAATGTGACAAATTCATTCTTGCCTCAGGGCCTCTGCACTGGCTGTCTGACTCTCTGGACTGGCCAGACAGCTCATCCCCTCATCCTAGAATTGCTGCCTCTTTCTTGTGACTCAGTTCTCAGCCTAAATGTCAACTTCTCAGAGGCTCCACTCCACCATCCTGCCCTGCTCTACTATACCTCCCTATTTTATTGTCTGCATTATACACGTTGAGGTACATGTGTCATCTCCCTCTAACCTAATTTATGCTGTGCATCTTTGTATTCCCATTGTTGAGAACTGTGTATAGTACCTAGATGGGCTCAATAAAGGTTTGTTGAATGAATAAATGGAAATTTCAGCTGATATGGTGATCAAATGAGCATCACTATTTTCTATTTGACTGGAATTTTTGATATCAAATACTGTTTAAATAAGTGAGTAATAATCTCGGGGCTCAAAACTTCTTTAAGGACAAGAATTGTATAATATTTGTTATAATAGGATATAATCAAGATGTATTTTTAAAACATTGTGGGCATTATCTGTTTAATTTGTACATCACTGAGTGATTTATGTTTTAACTGGGTAGATGCGGGATGCACCTATTTAACTTTCCTACAGTGTCTGGACAATCAGTGAACCAGTCTCTGCACATTCAGCTTTGGCTGACATTCTAACACAATCAGAATCCCTGTGCATTCCAGTAAGGAGACTCATCAGTATTCCTGACTTTAAAAAGACAAAAAATCACACTGCCTTAGACAAGAAGTCTCAGGTGTTAGATTCTTTAATGTTTTTTTTTTTTTGGTATTCATTTATTTCTCTTTTTTCCCTTAAATTCTTTTATTGGCACATTTTAGGTAAACAATACATTTACATTTATCACTGGGTGCTTGTACCAGCCCATAAAGCAGATTTCTTATTACATCTTTTCATACATATATATTTGAATTTATATATGCATGTAAATTATATTTAATATTTTTAGTATTTGTATTGGAAAACATTTTTTGGTAGAATTTTCTAAACAAAAATTATTTTCAGTTTTCTTAAAAAACATTTTCTTAAAAAACATTATTTTCACTGTTTGTATGCTTATATATTTTTTTCCCTTAAATTATTTTATTGACACATTTTAAGTATACAATACATTCACATTTATCATTGGGTGCCTGCACCCAATGATAAATTTATTTTTTTTAATTGAATATTTTATTGAGGTTTTCTATTTTTTAAATAAGGCAATAACAAGCTATAACATACTTAACTTTATGTTTTTAAGCTTATTTTTATGATTTTAAAGATTTGTCAGCAATTTTGTATGGTGCACATTGTTGGTTTCAATTATAAAAGATGTAATATTTTGGATCACTTATTTTTGTTTTATTGTTGATTTTCTTTTGTTGTGTGTTCTAGAATCTTAAGCTGAGTGCTGTACTTACTCATTCCTCTGTTGATAAGCTTAAATGCTTTTATTATGTTGGAAGACTTCTTTGGCCAAATAATATAATTTGTAGCATTTACAATTATTAATATTCTGGTTCCTTTTTCAAATCAATAGGGAAATATCCAGTTCTTAAATTCTTGGGACTTTATGTTAATATAAAAAACATCATTTATTTTGAGACAGTAGTCTGAAAAGTTTTTTTTCATTTTGAGGTTATACTTATTTCTTTTATATGATCATCAATAATAATTTCTTTTTTTGCTATTATGTAGCAGTGTGAATGTGTGTGTGTGTGTGGTATGAATTCATTTTTCATGATTTGATAATTGGTAAGTTATAAGATACAGAGTGGTAAAAATTTTCCCTTACAGTTATGTTTCTCTCCTCATTCTTATTTTTAATAATTCTAATTTGTTTTTTGTTACTTGTCTGCTTGATGTAGTGGTTTAACCATGAATAATCAGCAAGGTGGGACATGGTAACATTATACATTATTAAACTGAATCTTAATATTTTTACTTTAAATTCTACTTTAAAATACTAATTTATTTTAACTCAGATTTTATAGGTTAATTTTTGTCTACATGTTTTTAAGCATAACCCTTGATTTGGTCTCAGATTAAAATTGATTATTTAGTGTTACAGTTTCAACTATTGATCTAATACCTATTATCCTCTACTCTACTTTGCTGTCACAAAATGCTTATTGTCTTGTTCAAATAAGCTATTCTTTGGAGGAGTCTCTTCTTACATTTTATGTAGAATTCTATTTATTTTCAATTCTAGTAAGAGTTATCTTGAACAACTGGCATCTCATTGATATTCTTTGATTTTGTTTATCTGCCCACTGACAAGTAATAAGGTTCTTCATTGGGGGCTGTAAGTTGGTTCTCAGCTGCATGTGTTGAGAGGAATTAAAATCTGATTTTCAGAAACTAAAATTAGCTTACTATTTTACTTACTTGGAGGTGCTACTTCATCCATGTCGCTATTAAGGTTTTCTGAAACGTGGTTCATTTATTCCTTTGCATTCTGATCCCCACTCCCTACCCCTTTATCTTGGTTTCTTTTCCCAGGATAAGGTGGCACTGTATCATCAAGTGAAATACAAACTCTTACATTTTTTTTGAAGGGTCAAGATTGGAAGAAATCTAAACATTACTGATTCATGTCTATTTGCTACTTTTAAAAATTCCCTTCCTCAGAAAAAAGGGATAGTACCTTTTAGCTTCTTGGTGCATATTTCCACCTGCTCTCTAAGTTTGTATCAACAATGACATCAAAAAGTTTGACTTGTCAGTGACAGGCTTTTTATTAGTATTTCTCTCTTTAGCTAAGATTCAACCTTTTTTTCTCTTGAATTGTGATTTCATTCTGAGTTTTTTCTTTTGATACGTTTTCCCCAGAGAGAAGCCAGATAATAACATTACTGGATCTTTAGACAGAAATTATACCCTGCCTGAGAATGAAGTTTTTATTATAGTCTCTTACTTAGAGAATTCTGTTATGTCCTTTCAGTGTCACTTGGAGTCAGGGGGTAAACTTAACAAGATGTAGCCTTTGATGAAAATGGTTCTGCAAAGTACTGGATATGTAAAATTTATCTTAGATTTTTTTAGATGAGGAAATTACCTATGTACTTTATAAAATTATTGTGAAGGTCAATTTAGATATATGACTACTTATATATAAATTTTAAAAATTAATATAAGTATTTTAGGGCTCCAGATAGATAAGACACAGGTACAATATATTAGGGTTACAAAATAAAATAAATTACTGAGGAAATCAAAGGGAAATGATGAAGCCACAGCAAGAAGATATACATGAATGAGATTGATGTTTTGAGGTGGGGTGGCACTAGATATGAGGGCAGTATAGGGAGATGAAATAAATAGTTTGTGCACCAACTTGTTACTGTGGAAGGCCAGGAGATGTGAGATGCTCAAAATGAAGGATTGTGGTGGGTAGGTCAGAGTACCGTCCCATGATGCCTTCCACTGTACACGATCTCACACATGGCTCCATCTAGGGAAGTGGCACTGAGATAGTCTTTTGTAAGAGCCTGAAAACTGATAGGACCATGGATGAGCAGCTGATTTAAAGACAGTGTATCCACCGGCTAACCAGGAATGCAGGTTGAGAAGGTTCTAACCAGTAGGAGCCATTTAGACTGGGTTCTTCAAAGATTTAGAGAGGGATGTAGTATGCTGCAGCCAGAGGTTATAGAGGTCCTTAGGAGAACAGAATAGTTGTTCTTTTGACCTGTTCCAGAGCGCATGGATCCCCAAATTCCAGGGATCACCTTATAATAAGATCTTTTCATAAGGCAGCCTCTGTGAGTTTCTTTCTGAGAGCTAAAACTGCTTAACCAACATGGTGGGCCACTGATCAAAGATATGCAGAAGAGAAGTTAATCTGAAAATTTCTTTCTGAGATAGAGTCCATAGGATTGGCTGATGTATTAACTGTGAGAGAGGAGTTCCCTAAAAAAGTGGACAAGGGTGCTTTCCTTCTTACCAATCATTATTTTTATTAATATATTTTACAAGACTGAAGTCGAAATAATATTAAATACAAATTTTTATACAGAAAGTGTAATAAAGTTAAAATAGTTCCTTGTAATTCATAGCATTATTGCAATGCTTACAAAATTTTTGCATAGTGTGTGCAAGGATCGATGTTATTTGAAACAAAACTAAAAAGCTCTTCTTCTCACATCACACTCAAACCCAGAGGAAAAAAGAAAACAAAACCAAAAATAACACAAAGGCTGAACTAAATTGTTTCATGGGAATGGGGCTGCTTTTTCAAAATTGAAAATCTACACACAAATGGGACTTCTGTGACCTCATCTTTTCTGTGAAAAGCACCAGACTCTGGCTTCTCCAGAGAAAAGAACATGTAGCCACATCATCATAGATGTTCTGTCTTTGCTTTCTAAAACATGACCCCCTTAGGAGGTGTTTCTGCTGCTTCATGGACTCCAAGAGGGAAAATCTTAACTGGGTAGTGAGGTGGTTAATGTATGGAAACCTTCATCTCATTCCCTAACAAAAACACTGGATGAAACTGATTTTGTGTCACTGAAATTTAAGTGTGCCAGTAGTTTGCTCATCTTGCTGGAGTCTCCCCTCTCTTCCAGTGAGCCAGATTTCTGGCTCTGGTAAGGTTAGTTTCATGAGATTTTTTTTAAAGGTACACTTTGTTGTCTTGCCATTTGGACATCTGCATCACTAGAAAGGAAATCTCTGACTGACTCGCCCTGAAATAAGGTCTTTAGCATTTTTAGCCCATTTCTGTTTGATAAGGTTTTACGGGGAGGTTGAGCCAGAGAAGCACTAACCCTCAGGCTGCATGTTTGGGGCAGTGAGTATATCCACATTCTCCCCAGAGGATCAGGTATGTGCTGTGTGGACAGCACATAAAGCAGGATGGACTGCCATCTCTTTCTCTGTCCTGGTGAGGACAGATTGACAGCAGGACCTTAACAAGGACATCCTGGTATATAATCTACTCAAATGGTTGTTGGCTGAGTAAATTCAGCAAAAATCCCCCTGTCCTTTAACAGATCAAAGCCCAATGTCTTTGCTCAGAGGATCGAAGTGCCCCAAGCTACCCAGTTGTAGTAACCTTTAGACACACTCATTATTTCCTGACCTAGTTGGAACACCACCATCCTCATTGCTGAATCTAGAACATCATTTTAAAGTGTACACTGGTGAAAAGGTGCCATTGTTGGGATAAAATTTGGCAAATGGATCTCATTTCCAACTCAGATCAATTGGTAGTGATGGGGAGAACCTGGAGCATCATCAGTGGCTTACAAGCTGTGGGCTGAAGCCATCAGAGACAAAGTGGCCAGCTCAGCTCTAGCTGGTATCGAATGTCTGGTGCTGATTGGATCCTCCGTAGTCTTATCTTGTTGTAGGCACAGGGACAGTGATAGAGGCCGAGTGCTCTTTTATTTTATTTATTTTTGCCACAAGTAGAAAATAATGGTAACCTTTGAGTGCCAAAAACCTCACCCAAAATTAGATATCTGTCTTTTGAAGGGAGGCAGAAGAGAAGCAAGTAGATGTTTATGAGAACAAAACTCTGTTTAGCTATACCTGTAGGTTACAGGGTATTAAAATTCTTTGTAAAATATGAGGCTAGGATATCTTCCAGTGTGAAAAGGCAGGGGCCCTGACTTAAGCATCTAGATCAATTTTCTTGGTTCTAGATTCTATTATTCCGTCAGACTTTCCATATTTTCACGCCACATACTTATACATGGTGAGAAATGACAGAACACAGGAAATAAAGCTTCTATAGTTTCATTCACAAAGAAGATCTGCTTTAAAATTTAGTAGGAGACACTTCCAAACAACTTGAAAAATAGTTTGACGTGCTGGTGACTTCCTAACATAGTGGTCAGGAGTTAGACTCACATTCTAGCTCTTCTGATTTCTAGCTAGTGACTTTGGACAAGTTTCTTAACCTCCCTACACCTCAGTTTCAAATCTGTAAATTGGAACTATAAAGGAACCTAACTCAAAGGACTGAATAAGTGAAAATGAATTTGTGTGAAATATTTGGCACAGTAAATATTCAATGAATGTTAATTATAAACAATTATTAGTACAGAATAGAATCCAACATCTCACACACTTAGGGGTTGAATCCAAGAAAATCTCTTATTTTATGCAGTATCTTGTGAGGGTGATTCTTTTTTCCACAGAAATTTCATAGCTTTGCTCCAATTCTCAATCCGATTCTCAAGATGTTAGAATCTTATGAATTAGATAAGTATGTAGACTGTAGAAGCACCAACGTATTTCTTGTTGACAAATGTCATCTTCCTGCCCTCAATCTGTTGCTGTAGTGCTTCCATGTAAACAGACCAATTTGAAATTTCTCACTTTATGAAATCTGAGTTAGGTCTGACTGCTCGAAGAAAATCCAAATGTAGAACTAGGCTGTGAAGGCATTGGAAGAAGAGGGACCTCTAGATGACTCTAGCCATGCACAGATGATTTTAGATTAAACAAATGCTTTCTTCTCTCTTCTTCCAATGAGGGTAGCTCTGTATTTGTTTTATTGAGCAGATCTTTGCCAAAAACTGTTCATGATGAAGCAAAATACACTCATTTCATAGTGAGGATGTCTATGTGCTTTATGAGGCATTGGGAAAATTCTGACTTCCTATGTGGATTTGGACTCTAAACCTTCTTGCCTGTTGCAAACCTCAAATTGGTTACTGAAGTTATCAATTGCTAGAGTGAAATTAAGGAGTAGCACTGAGCATCTGTGTTGTTGTATATGACACTGTTGATGAGTTTGATGGGATCATTAATACTGTGTTACATTACACTCTCTGTTGCATCAAGGGCTCATAACTTTCTTGCTCTCTTTTTCTCAAAGGAAGATACTAATTTCCTACTCTGTAAATTTCTGCAAAAGGAAGGTGAGGGAGGACCAAATAGCATATTTGAGCATGGGTTGCTCCAAAAGGGGTATTTTCCTTTACACTTGCGCTCTAACAATGCTTCAAAGGAGGACCTCCCACAAGTAATTATTTTCCCTTTGCCATTTAGATCTGCCTTGAGAAATTTCAAGGATTCTATTATGAAGAACGCTTTTAAGAATCATGGAAATCACATTGCTTTTGGAAGTGCTAATGTATGTGGTGTGCTGTGCTGTGCTGGCTGAAGCAGCAGGCTTCGGACTGCTTTATCTCTTATCAGTGGTTTGGCTTTGTGAATGAGAAATTCAGAGGCAACTGTATAATTTTAAATTCCGATTACCACAAAGAAAGAGATCCATCTGACATCCCAATGCAGTAGCTTTGACTATTTTAATGGAAATCTGTTGGAACTGGGGGAACCTTCCACCAAGGAGAAAGTGATGAAAGACCGCAAGAGACATTTTATCTTTGAGATAAAAAGCCTGTTTTCTAAGGTTGTTTCTTTCATTGTAACTCTTTCCCCATCTGCTACTGGTACACCATGCAAATGTATCATTCAAAGAACTGCTTCTTTATCCTCTTTTGTGTAAGATTTCTGGGGGCAGGAAGGAGGACGAGAACTGGCTTTGTTTACAACTTATTTAAAGGAGATTTTTCACTTTTTTTTAGAGCCTTAAAAAAGAGGATCACGGGCTTAAATGGATCCTTTTACCTCGTTGGCCCAAATTTCATGCAACCTTTTGCCTGAAGATAAACAAGAGCAAGATATTCTCATTCTGCACCAACTTAATCTTCTTTCAGCCATGTCCATATTAGGACAACTGATAGAGATTAGGGACTGGTAAATTTAAAAAAATTCTCCCTGCTTACTGTGAATACTTATATTTGGAAAGGGTCACTCTTAACTGATGCTGTTTTAACAACATTGAGTACAAAGCCCTTTTAGCAAAAGGCATCCTGACTGAGGAGAAAAAAAATCCCTGCCAGGACCCTGGCTTAGCACACGAAGCAGAGATGTTGGAGTCCAACACATGTCCTTTTTTGTGATCCCTCTACACCAAGGAACAAAAACCTACATCCTAGGAAATCAAAGCAAATGGGCATTAATCTGGTTCCTCCCAGTGATGACTCTGTACAAAGAATTTTACTACATTTTTCTTCCTGCATGTTTTAAGATGTTGCATCACCTAACACTTGCAATTATTCAGTGTTCCAACCCACTCTTTAAGCCTGGTGTGGCTGTAGGAACATATTCACACTCTAAAGATGTAAATACTTGAGGTCACAGAGGCCAAAAATGACATGTAAAGTTCAAAATATGCTCTGAAGGATGTTGGAATGGACATTTTTCTGGGATACAGGAAAGTGAGATGGAAATTTCTGTTACATAGACAGCAGAAAGAATGTTCTCAGCAAAGAGATGAAATTTAAAGCATAGGATACCCTGCTTCACTTCTTCTCACACAATGATTAGGATTTAAGGAACCATCTTTCTAACAAGGTTCCTCAGAAAAGATTCTTGGAGGATCACAGTTTTCCTTTTTTTCTCAAAGCTTCTGCTAATTCCATCCTCCCTATTCCCAATAAATCCTCTGACCCTGTGTTTCCCTGTTGGGTGGGTTACTTCATGTAGTGCAAGTAAAATCTCCTTTCCTAAAATACATTGCCAGATGTTTATATTCCCAAGCCTACCTGGAAACGTAGGTTACTCTTTGCTATGGGGGATCTGCCTTCTTTTTGGCTGTGTGCAACACACACCACAAATGACCCATAGGTCAGGGTCAACAAACTTTCTCTGTAGAGGGCCAGATAGTAATAATTATGCTTGTGGGCCTTGCAGTCTCTGGCACAGCTGCTTTGCCCCAGTGTTGCAGAATGATGCAAGTATGTGGCTGTGCAACAGTAAAATATATTCATGAAATACATTCATGAGGCGGATTTGATGTCCAGCTCCCCACTTGCTGCTCCTTGCTCTAGGGTCAAACTTTCAGCACTCTTTGGTCTGTCATTGCTGGGTGTATGTTGGGAATTATCCCAAGGGAAAATGACCTCAAGGGAGTTAAAAGCAAATTGAAGTTTAAAAACTCTTTCTCTTGGGTAATATAATTATAAAGCCACAGGTCATGTTTCCATCTAGGCAGGCACCACCATAAAGCTTTCAAACACCTTCAACATACTCAAGTAGTTTCCCAAGATGGAAATTTTATCAGTTATTGAGCATATGTCAAATACAACTAAATGCTAAACATATTTGGAGATCAATTTTTAATTTATAAAAAATTTTCTGATGAATATTACCATCCTAAAACTTCTATTATATTGAAGATTCATTTGAACTCTGTTATACCACCAGCTGCTTAATTTACCCAAAGATGTGATTGTCTAGAAGATATCATAGACTGTATAAATATTAGAATCTCCTTTTAAAAAATTAGAGATTAGCAGATTTTAATGTAAAAGGTATTTTTCCAGAATTCAGGTAAAACTCTCATGATCTTCGGCAGATATTCTGATTGGAGAGTACTGGGAGAAAAAAGTGTATAATGAAGAACTTAGAATACATTTTACCAATTTCCAAAGTCTGAACTGAAATCCATAACTTCACCTGTACCAATGTTTCTTCTTATTACCTTATATACTGTGGTCATTTAGAATAAGTGAAAGCCAGAATTTTATATCAGGTGTCCCCCCAAAGGTGTTTCATTTATAATCTTCATTGCTGCTATTATTTTTATTGTATTTATGATGTGACTAATCTTAGGGTTAAAATTTAAAGGTGGGATCATACCCTTTTTAGGAGGGGTCATAAAACTCCCAAGGTACTGATCGCAGACTTTTGTCATGATTAGAACAAAATCAGAGGAAAGTAGTCCAGGGAACTTTCTGTTTTCTCATTGTCCCTATGTGAGATGACAAAATGCAAAGATAGCCTGCTTAAAAAAAAGACCTGTCTTAAGGTATTTAGCCACAAAGGACCTCAGGGTTATTACAGTTGTTTATCAGAATGATATGGGGTAGGTGTTTCTAACAGCCAAGGAAGGGGTCATTTCCTGGCTTGCAAAAAACCTGTGTGTGATGCATGCAGTTTCTGGTAATATGAACCTAAGGATATTAGAAATACCGACCCAGAATAACCGGATGTCTTTTAGGACAGGTGTCCCATATTAGGTCTTAGTGCTGCAAACTAAGAAATCTTACAATCTTGCCTTAAGATTGACCAACCCAGTTCTTCTGCATGAGATATTGGAGAGCCAGCCTGGAGCCTCAAAGCCAGCAAAATCACAGGTTGGGCTAGGACCTTCCCTCCCTCTACCCCTTCTGAGTAACTGGGTACTGTACCCCACAGCTTGCTTTTTCATCCCATGTGTGCAAATCTTAGCCAGAGGCTTGGGTGTCATCTCAAAAACATCAAACCTCTTTTTCATCTCCCTTGACAAACCTTCTCCTGCTTGTGAAGTAAGAAAATTAGAACCTTATTGAGGAAAAAAATTGCCATTCAGATCTACAAAATACAACCTCATTTAGGATCGTGGGGTCACTGATGGTTAAATGGCATCCAGACAGTTACATCTCCATTCTGGTCTCCGTAGAAACCACATCTGTCAACCATTTTATTTGTCTACCAAATTTGATGCCCAGCCAAAACTAAACAATTCCCCTCCAATCACTCAAAAGAAACTACAGGTAACAAGATAAATAGGATGTGCTTCTCCTTGCTTAGTGCATTGACTTAAGGCGTAGGCACATTTTCCCCTCTTTGAACAGAGATGGTATAATCCCCTGTCCCAGCACAAGAGCCAGCCAGGGTGACCCTGGAGCATGGTGATGGACGTGGAGTGATGAGAGGTAGCTGATGATGGGAACCAGAGAGCTGCTCCTCCAGATGTGGGTGTGGGTGCTGCTGGGCCCCCAGGGACATGGCGATTCTGATAAAGATAGTGATTCAGTTTACATTAACTTTCAGGGAGCAGTTCTGGCAGCATGCAGTGCTTTATATCTGTGATTCCCAGAGAAAATAGTAGATTTAGGAATATATTACCAGCACTGAAAAAATTACATATATAAGAAGATCAAAGCGAGAGAATTTGGGCACGCCCTTAAAAATATGAGGCATGGCTCTGAGTTACCTAACAATCTCAAGAAACATATAAAAACTAACTAGGTTCTTGGTGCTACTCTTAATTAGATTTCTACCTTTAAATGACTTTTCTTGGGATTGTGGTTCCACACTTAGGCATTTTGATTGACCTGATCATTTTGGGTGAGAGTGTGTTGGATAAAGTCAAAATTGAGACCATAACAGCTTTTGAGCCATTTTTCCTTTGAGCAGAGACATATTGCCCATTTATTCTTTTCTGTTAGGCCATTGAGTAGCTTCCAGCTGACTGAAGAACAGCTGTTATCCTATTATGTCCTGATTTACAACTCTTATTTTGACTGTGGGAGAATATGTGAGTTTGAAGGAAGTCAGATAAGCAGAAGTTGTGGAGGCAGTTCAGAATTTGTTGAAATTCATTCTCCTCATTCATCCAATGACAAAACCCCCCAATATGTTGGGCTGCAAGTGTTGGACAGCCATTTGGAGTTCTTAGAGCTGACTTTAGTGGCTCATCATCCCTAACTGGAAGGTAAAAGTTGGCCAGTCTTCCGAAAGCTAAGAAAGGGAAACCAAATATCTGGTGTGTGCGTGATGTTGGGGATGAGCTCAGGGCCTCACACATGCTAAGCAAATGTTATAGTAATGAGCAGCACCCCCAGTCCAAAATGGCTCTTTTTGATACAACGATCTCAGTGCTTGAGAACAACTTGGAGATTCCCACCATTGCTGCCTCTAATGACACTGAAGGAGAAGGTATGCTGTTGCTTGAACATATTGATGAATGATCTTCTCAGTGCACAGTGTGATTCCAAACGGTCTAGGGCAGTGGTGGCGAATCTGTGGCACGCATGCTGCAGTGGGCCATCGGTGTCACTGAAGGCTCTAAAACGTTCGCCATCGCTGGCCTAGGGAATGTTGATTTTGAATTAGTATTTAGATTTTGTCTCCTAGACAGTGGTGATGGGATGGAGAATGATGGTGGGGATCACAGGGTCACCCATGGTTCCTTTTGTACTGAAACCTCATTTTATACAGAGGATATATATATATTTATTTATATATTTATATATATATTTATATCCACTCATACACGCAAACACTCACGCGTGTACACACACTCACACATAAAAGGTCTTTGATAGGCTTTCTGTGTTCTAGTAAAAATAGCTGGCAGCCAATGTCTAAAGCCACAAAACGGCCTTCATGCTGCTGACAATGTCCACTCTGGAGAGTCTCTCAAAGGCAGACACTTGTGTTTATCTGACAAGTGGAACCGGTTCCTGCCTGGGACAGGAACAGTCTCCCGTTGGCGCAGACGCAGACCTCGAAGACCTTCTGCCTCGTCCCTGTGGGTGAGTAGGATCCGTGAGGCAGTCTAGGTAGCTTGATTTTCGCAGCATCTAACTTAATCTAAAGAGAGGGGATAAGTGGGAAAGAGTCAGTCAGAGGCTGCTGTTTGTGCTCTTGATGTCCAGAAATAGTAGATGAATGTGCACTTCAAATAAAAACCCACAAACACCTCCTCAGGATTGAGCTCTGGCAGCACTGAGGATTTAGAGATAAATAAGACAAAGTCTCTGTCCTCCCAGAGGCTGATATTCTAGTAAAATAATGTCTTACTGATGGTTATTAACACTTTGCAGAAGTATGACATGCAGAATGTGAAGTGTCCTAGAGTGAAATAAATATAGAAATACTACACTTAACAGTTTTTATTACTAGGGATTTCTCAGATCCTACCTCTTCTACACACAAGGTGGATCTTCAAGAAGAAAGCGTTCTCCAAGTTTAAAATGAAATGATCAGTGACCTTTCCTTTCTTTATTAATACCTTGTGGTGCTGATATTCTATTGGATAGACTAAAAAATACATGACTCTAAAAAATAAGCAGTGCTGGAAGTTGCCATTAAATTTATGAGTATAACTGATTCTTTCAGCACTCATAATCTGGTACCTATGAACTGAACATGTGAGGCAGTTTCTATGGTTGTTATACATGTGATTTGTGGCTATTTGAGGAAGCTGTTGTGATACCTGAATACTCTTAACTTTTAAAAACAAAACAGCAAATACCAAAGAAATCAAAGGAAAGACTTTTTAATACACAGAGTAGATATACAGCAGCAAGGGGAGGATAATACCTTCCACATTGATATGAGAGGTAGAATAGAGATATAAAAAATTCACTTACAAACACTTTGAAGGCATTTTTAAAGTTTACAGTCAAATTATGATTTTTGGAAAGGACATTTACCTTACCCTGCTTGCAAAAATACAAGAGGCATTTCCGCTCACCCAGTTGAGATTGTAGTGAGATAAAAGAATTAGTATCTGTCATCCTTCATTCTTTGCTTGACTAGTTTTACCCCTACTGACTTTTTTGCTGGTTCTGGGTTGGGATTGCTGTTGGATGTGACTCTCCATTGTCAATGAAAATTGAAACATATGACATAAAATGACTACAAGTAAATTAAGTTCATGTTTAGCCAGATGGGTGTGAAATACAGCTTAATTATGCTGGTTAACTAAATGTCATTTTAAGTGAGGAAGAAACAGAATTTGGAAATAGCATTCATTTTTATGGTCATATAATTCTGTACTTGCTATACATGCCATCTTGCTAGCATTTTACAAATAATCATAACTTTTATGTAATATGGATTTGGCTTATAATCATGCTGTTAAACTATCTGTTCCAGAAAACAAAACCTTCTGATTGGCTTTTTGGGCTGATACAGTATAGGATCAATATCAATGGCAAACCAGCTTTGGAAAAGATTGGCCCATACCTCTTTGGACTCTGTCCCGCCTCCTCCTTACCTCTCCATCTTTGGATTCCAGTCTCAGCTCGGTTCTGCAGGTGGCTTCCATGTTGCCGGCTTCTGCATTTATTTGTACTCCTTTTGGGGCCTCCATAACCAGAGACCGGGTTGGGGACTCCAATCTGAAATACAGGCAAGCCAGAGATTAAAGATCCTATTCCCCCTCCTTTGTTTTTTGTAAATTTAAGAGGAAGTTGATGTTCCTGGCATTGAAATAGCATTTCAGTATTTGATCAGGGAATTTGTCTACTTTTACCATTCTGGTCAAGTTTGTGACAGAGAATATAAGAGCTCTAAGTTTGACCTTCCTTGCTTGCTCAGGGCTCAAAGTGAAGGTGTTCTAGGACCATGGCTTCATTTTATCTTACACCCTGTCAATTACTGCTTCACTTACTTTATTGGTGTAATTAACCAAACTCTTACATACATATATATATTTTTAAAGAGTAGCACAGTCCTAGGTCTAGGCTGAGCTTCTTGAAACTGGTATTGGAGAATTAGTATTCTTTCCACTTAGTCTTCCATGGAGGTAGAATTGTACTGGAAATAAGGAAATAGACCTAGGGATGCAATGCACTTGGAATCAAGCCATGAGGTGGTCACAGTAGGACCCTGTCTTCCTTTTCCTCTCCTATTCTTTCTAAAATTTCTCAAAGCCTCAGTTTCCCCATCTACAAAGAGCTTCAAATGGTACATGTAGGGTAATGCAAATATGTATTAAATATTATTACAAGTTGAATGAAGCAGAAGTGTTTCAGATATTTTTCAGATTTTGGAATGTTTACATAAACTTTACTAGTTGAACATCCTTAATCTGAAGATCCAAAGTGCTCCAACATCTGAAATTTTCTAAGCCTCCTATTAGCACTCAAAAAGTTTTGCAATTTGAAACATTTTGGGTTTTCAGGTTAGAGATGCTGGACCTGTACTGCTATGACTATTGTTATTGTATTAGCAAGTCATAACGGAGTCTTGGGATTTACTTCACAATGAATTTTTTCAAAAGAAGATTTAGAACACATCAGTGGCCGCCAGGCCCTGGAGCAGGGCAGTAGCTTGACTGCCAGGGACAGCGTGCAGAGGGAATGTTCTGGGTGGTGACTGCAGTGGTTGCTGCACATCTCTAGGTATTTGCAGAAGCTCACTAATGAGCAAATTTTATTATTTGTAAGATAAGAAATACCACAAGAGAAGTGTAACCAGCCAAGGCACATGCCATTATGATGGCAAAAAGGAGGATACTATTCCTTGGAAAGTTTTTTTTGCCTCATTCACTCTAATGAGAAAATCTTTACCAAAATTCAAGCATCCCCTAATAGTCTGGATCTTAAACATATTATTGGATAGGAATATGTGAGGATCCTCTTCTCTGTTGCAAAGAAAATGTCCCAATTTGGGAAGCAAAGGTATCAGCGTTGGCGTTCAACCTGCTGTGATTCAGACCAATTCCCTGACCTGATGTTTCTAACTTTCGGATACTCTGAACATGTTAAAAAGCACCGTCACCCACACTTCCCACTTCTGAGTCCCCATTCAGTTTCTACCACTCCATCTGGGCAGGCCAACCCTCTTGGGTCACAGTAAGTGGCCAGATGAGCAAACTGGCCAGTGAGATGTCACTGCTGAACAATCCCCAGCCACATTACATTGAGGCCAAGAAGGCTCCTCCACACTTTCCGGCCTGGGTTCTTGCTTCTAGGCAACAGCTGTGTCCCTGCATTTTTCCCCTGCAATGAGTAAGCTGGAGTTCAAAGAGAAGCAACAGGCCTATCGCACTTCTACAAAGAGAAGGCGTGGCCTTCTCTTTAACTTGTCCTTATTGACCTCCCTCCTTTGTGTGTAGCAGAAATCCCTATGTCCCCTTTTTTCCTTCTCACAAGACCTTTACCCAGGCTGCCTATTATTATGGTTACTTCATCGGCATATGGTTTTCTCCTGAGGAGAAGATGTCAGTGCAGGGAGGAAGGAAGGAGTACTGTTACCAGGGCAACAGGAAGACTTGCCTGTGCAGTGCAGCCTTGCTTAGACCTTCACTCTGTGCAGATGAGCTTCTGGTATAGTCCTGACCTCCTCTCATTTTTGAAACATGAAGATAGCTCCGTGCCATTTTCTCTCCATTTACTTCTCTCATATATATTCCAGCTGCCTGATGTAGTTTATCATCAAAATAGTTTTCTACTATTTTGTTTCCACTGGTGTTGATCCCTTTCTCCTTACAACTTACCTTCCTGCCTTCCAGTGCTGCCTGCCTGGCTTGTCAATGGCACTACCATGTTCCCCCTTCTCCAGCTGCAATTCCTCACACCATCCTTTCTTTTTCTTTCTGTCCTTCTCTCCTGCCTCAGTTTATCAGTTAATTCAGCTTTTGACTCTGGAGTTCTCACTTCTCAATAGAGCAGCACACCTGTAACCCGAGTCATTGTACCTACCTCAGAAGTTCCGTCTCAATTTTTTTACTTCTTCCCACTCTACGTCACATAAAAATCTACCTTCCTGAAGTAAGTGCGGAACATCTCATCTTTCTCATCAAAACTTTCACTGTCTTCTCAGGAGAGATGTGAACTCCTGAACTTATTGAGCCAGGTAGAATTTGCTCTGACTTACTGTGTTGGTTTTATTTCTTGCTCTCAACATTAAGTATATTTTACTGAGGGTTTACTAGGTGATGACATTGTGCAAAAGTCTTCATGTGTGTGATCTTATTTGATGTTTACAAACCTGTCAATCCAGTGTTCTTGTGTTCTTAGTACAAACAAGGAAACTGAAGGTAAGTGATTACTCAGAGAAGAGCTACACTTCTAATTATGGCAGAGCTCGATTCTAACCCCATTTCTTAGAAGCCAGGATGTTGTTTACCATATCACTTCACAGAAAAACTATTTTTTTCTCACCCTCATATTTATCCTGTTCTCTGAAATTAAATATTCCTTTTCTTCTTATGGATTAGCGCTTGTCTTTCCCAACCTCGTCCATGAAAATGACAGGAAGGTAAGAGTCCTAAACTTGGCTGAGTGACACATACTGCACAATACTTCTCATGTTCAGTGTATACTGCTGATATCAAATTCAAGACCTGCTGAATTAGCTCATACTTGGTACACAGCCTTCCAAGTGAATGATTCAGTGTAAAAAGTCAGTTGGGGAGAATGAAAGAGATTAAAATAGGGAACATGCATGGAGCTGAGAGAACTTTCTCAAAGGCAATGTGGTTATTTCAGGCAGGCATTAGAATTCACTTTATTCTTGCAAACTGCATGAGGTCTGTGAGATCACTAGGAGGGCTCTGGGGCCAGAGAAATGGACTCAGAAATAACTGCGGCCCTTTCTCTCCTCTTAGCAATGGAAATACCAGGGCACTGAGAAAGGAGCTACTCTTCAACTGTCCTACTGCAAAAGGCCACTACCAATAGGGCATGAAAATTTCCTTAAAGCGGAGACAAAATCGTAACAGTTTGCCTGTTTCACAGTCATTCTAAACACTCTTTGATGTTGAGGCAGACTCACTGCCGTGTGTGTCCACACTAATATGTCCACTGAGAAAAAACCACCTCTGAGAGCCCCTGGGAACTGCAGAGGGCCAGCAGGGCACTGCAGTGAGGCCCATTGGTTTCTGACCATAGATTTAGGACCACGCTACAACTGCTTAGACTGCATAAAAGGAGGTTTCCGCCTGACAGAGGGGACCGACCAGGGGTACTGCTGGCTGCTGGAAAGAAATGCTGAAGAGCTACTCTCGGAGGGGGAGGAGGAGGGGGAGGAGGAGGACAACGAGGACGACGACGACGACCAGGTAGGGAGGTCCACCGGCTAGGCCAGGTCCTTAAGAAGAAGAATTTTCAAACGTGAGCTTCAGAATTGCCTGGAGGAGAATAGCATGGCTTCGGGGCCCATTCTGAGTGTCTGATTCAGGCTCCACACCTCTGCTTCCGTAACCTGCTCAAAGGCGCCACGCTTAGAGGACAGTTGCTCTAGTCTGGCGTCACAAACTCAGGTTCCCACAGAGATGAGACTAGGTGAGGTCAAAGAGTGACCCGAAGAAACCTGGAAGTAAAACGGCAGTGCCAGCACAGTGGTGTTGGGCAAATGGCCCAGGCTTGAATGTGGAAGAGGTCGTGGAGATGCTGTTCTTTGAGACAGGGGCCGTTCTAATCTGGCCACCTGTTGCCAGGGTTTCTGATTAAAAACATAGTTCTACATTGGGTCATTAAATTTGATGGGTAGATGTAAAAGAATATGATTATGGTATAAAAATGACAATGCATGGTGTGTTGTTTACGCACCATCTTTAAGAAAAAGGGAAATTCTTAGCTGTGTAGGACCATGAGCTCACCTTCCTGATCCCAATACATTTCTTTCCCTTCCTGGCAGTAAATACTCTCAGGAATTTTCTATTTACTGTTTTCTTTATATTATTTTACATGTTTTTACTGTATGTTGCTCACTATTGCATGTTTTTGAATTTTAAGCACAGAATAATTCCGCTTACTTTTTTTTAAAAAACAACTTGCTTTTTTTCCCCCTTTACAGTATGCTCTTGACATTCATATACTTCCTGGCATATAGTTCTAACTTATTCGACTTCCCTGGTGTTTTACCTTGTGCTTCATCTGTCTGTTTCTCTGTTGGACATTTGAGTTGGCTCCAGTTTTTTGTTTCTGCAGGTAGTGTACATATATGCACATTCTTGTGCATGGCTCTTATTTATGCAAAAGTCTCTTTGAGACACATAGAGTACAGTGGAATTGCTACTTCTAGAATAGGAACATCCACAGCATCACTAGATAATGCCAAACAGCTTTCCAAAGCTGTTACTCCAATAGACTTCCCTACTAGCGTGCATCAAGTTCTAGTTGTTCTACTTTCTTGCTAACATTTGGTAATGTTAATATTATTAAGATAATGTTTGATAATATTAAGTATGAAATGAGTGTGAAATTCAACACTATTATCTTTTAAAATTACATTTCCTTAATTAGCAGTGGAGTGAAGCATCTTTTCATTTCTAAGTCATTTGGAATTTTCTTCAGTAAAATTGTCTAACTTTTTGTCTGTTTTAATTTAAAGTTTATTCTGGTGTGATTTGTAAAATACATATGCTGAAAAATATCTACAAGTTTTATAT